AAAACTGAAGGTAACACATTAATTAGACTGCAGACTATATTCTACACACAAGATTCACACTATTATTATTAGCAATAATAATAATAATAATAATAATAATAATAATAATAATAATAATAGTACTCACCTAACAATTTCACCAAGCTGGAAATCTCCAGAATGAATACCTGATTTTAGAGAGACTGGATCAAGTGGTAAAACAATGCCTTCAGGTGTCTGTGGAAAAACATAAATTTTCAAAACTAAGATATAAATGACAATATTAAAAAATCTAATAAAAAAAGTTTGTGTTTTCGTTGTTTTGCTACGGCTGATTGCAAAATGTCAGTTTCAATTCTGAGCCCATGAAGAATAAAACACAGTACCACAAACTCAATGGCAATGGAAGCATCAGTTTGGGCTGCTTCATCTCTCTCTACAGGCTCCATCTGGGGTGTCAGTGCAAACATCCTGAAATGAACTGAAGGGAAGAGAAGATGTTATTTTTGCTGCTCGGGCAGTGATGTATACATGTTGGGAGGAATATTTAATAAAGAAGTGTGGTTTACTAATTTAAATTTAAAATATGTCTTAGTCAAACTGGGGGAAATATATGACTTTTTTCCTTTCAAATCTTCACTGAAAAAAATTATCAGATGTTCTAACCTTCTTCAATGGGACTGCGTGGACTACACAAAACAGCTTTCTAATTTGTGAAAAGTGATGCCATAGTCACATAATTACTGTAACAAACTCTAAATTATTGGAGCAGCACCATGTTTCGTTAAGTTTATTGAATGGCCCTTAAAAAATATTGAATCTGTATTAAATAAAATAAAGATAGAACTATGGACGCATGAAACACATGACATGGGAGCTCTGGTTTTCCATTACAGCTTTATTCACCTCCATACATCAACTGAGCACATCGCACCCAAACACAACAAAAACCCCTCCTCTAAGCTTGGGTGTGAGTGGAGCCCTCTAGTGGGTCACCACAGAACTACCCTTGTGTGTGCTGTTTCTCAGTCATGAGGTAGCGGTAGACTCACCTTTG